TAATACATTTGATAATTAGCATCCTGCAATTTTACAAAAATTGTTTTCGACACATCGAAAATGACGGTACTGAATAACACCTATTTGTTTATACAATATTTGATTCATTGAAAATCAATATAATTAAATAATACACATTTGCTGACGATTAAATGGACATTCATAGTGATACAAGTTAGTAATTAAGTAGTGCAAACGAACCGCAGTAAACTTTTTTGTCCTGCACGTATTTGTACATATATTTAGGATACTTGAAGCAAGAAGTTTATTCGGTGGTAATTAGAGCAAGGGGCGAACTTGTTAACGGAATTGGGAAACGGCTGCCAAAATACAGGAATGAATGAACAACAATTAGAAACACTAACGAAGTCAATGAGAGGACGTTCCGAATTATGCACGCCGGAATCCCGGGCTCTCTGTCCCTCATTTCACGAATTTTTTCAAATGATTTGTTTGTTGTTATAGTGGCTAATGAGCTCGTTACATTAATGTTCTGGGTTACGTGATCGACGAACATTTGTTATGTAATTATCAGGACGCTGGCAATTTTAATCGTCGCGAAGAAAAATTTAATGTTCAGTATCCGTGTAATCGTTACGTTAACTAAATTCACCGTATGCACGAAACGCGAGACAACAAGTCCTCATCGTCCAACGCTTAATAAAAAATTAAGAGGCCTGATTAACATGGAATAGCCGGGACAACTCCACTTATCAGTTCAGGGTTAAACAAACCGCGGTGTCGTAGGTACATTTGTTAAAATTCATTTCATGCATACTAAAATTTTTTCCTTTCGCTGTATAAATTATGCATTAAAATGCAAAGCGATAGGTACGTGCGCTCACATGAATTTTCTTTTAGATCCACTTTTAGCACTGGCTCTTCTTCTACATCAAAGTTAATCGCCAAATAACATATTCACGACAAGTTATTCATCTTAGTTCGAGCAATGAAAAATGAAACGAAGTAGATATTCATTTCATATTATGATTATTCTACGTAGTGTAAGTGATTGTATGTGTTATTCTTATCAGGAATGTTTTAATGATCAGTGATAAAATTAAATTACATTACAATTAAAATACACATTTTGAGATGTCACAAAATATTTAATTCCTATTTATCAAAAACAGAATAATACACATATATAGTTTTTAATAAGATTAGAGAAGGAAATAATTACGAAGGAATTAATTACGTCTTTAACGAATTCTGCAGTAACGGTTCAAGCCTCGTTACGCGAAAGAAATTCCATGACCGCGCGTTTTCCGTATGCGAACTATTCAACAGACAGTGACGCGGCATCCGCGCAAGGGGCTCAGTGATCGGCTGATTAATTTATGCGAAATGCAGAAAGCCCGTAAACATACGTTTCTACGGCTTACTATATATCGGGGCGCACTTTTACAAGCAAAATGGCCGGGCCTGTGCATTCAACTAATCCCCCTCGTCCATTTAATATGGAGGGAGGGGGCGGAGAGGTGGTCCGGAGGGGTTGGGTGGTGGCCATACCGTCGGTATAGCCGTTTACGAATTTGCGTGGAAAAAAAAATTGAACTACCACCGCGCCGCCGTGGCTCCTGCGCTTCCTATTTTCGTTCGTTACCTATCGACCGGGCTTTATCTATTTTTTATGCAATGAAATGCTCCGATATCAATGGCGACGGCCGCGGACGCGCGCGCGCGCTCTCTCCCGCACATTCCCACCGACGTGTCCATTGTACCAAAATTCGAAATTACAACGCCCCGGAAAAAAAGATGTTCGTTACCTTTTATATAGAAAAATGGCAGCGGGACCGTTCGAATGGTTTGATAACTCCCACTTTCAGCGGAATTCATCGGATGCAACATATTTTATCTCCCGCTGTCATTTTCTAAACCTCGGATGTTCGTCGCTACACCGGTAACTACGTAAACGTCTCCGGAAGTTGTTTCATCTCCCGGATAACTGTCCGGTAAAGACTAACGAGTCGTCGAGGTGTCTGAAAATCCTGTAAGTGGCCGGCTTGAAATTCACTCGGTAAAATAATCATGTCAGCCTTCTTGGAATCGTCCTCCTCTTTGGTGTCCGGCCAAGTTTCCTCGATTCGACCGAAAAAGGGGAATTTATTCATGGCTCTCGTCACCCGGTTGGTAGAATCCTTTTTCGCGAATTAGCTGGATGTCGAAGCTCTAACGCGCTTAATCTGTATCCCAACTATGGCGATACACGTTCCGGCATATTTCCATGCCATTATGCAAAGGGGCCGAGTAACATTACTTTATACAACCACGAGCCATCGACACACTAGATAAAGGGGGGTGAGAGGGGGTTAAGAAAGTTAATGAGAGAGTCGGCGGGGTGCGGGACGCAGGAGAGATCGCGGTTGCGTAGCATTGGGGCTCGTGAGCGTATTCCATCGATTTATTATAATTTAGATTGTCGTTCTAAGAAGCCGACCGTACATGCACGTACGCGTACACATAGGACGCGCCTTAATGCGCTGCCGTTCGTTAATTATTCCTCCGGCATCGCAGTAAATATGCATGAATTATACATATATCGCATGGCACGAACGCGCCCGGGATATGGGGACGAATGATTAATACGCGGCTCTTTCTCTTTTCTCTTTACCGTTTTACGCGTTTTTCCAACGCGTTCAGTTCGCGTTTTTATTTTTTTCGGGAATCGGCTGAATCGCAGATCACAATTATTACTATAGATATTGATTATACGAACTTGTCGAAAATATTTTTAGACATTAATTATCAACACGGAGATCTAAAAAAATTTGCACGGTGTAATAGATATAATGAAGAGGAAAAGTTTAGCAAGTGACGTTAATTGTAATTTGCCTGCAGACACGATAGTTATGAAGGATTCCACGTAAATTACGTTTTATGTAAACATCGGACAAGTGACTTTAACGACTAATACGAACAGTTGAAAATTGTTTTGAACGATGAAAGGTGTCCCGGGTAATAGATTTCGTATCGGTAACGGGTTACCATTAAAAAGACAACGGAACGCGAGATCATGTTCCGAGTAATTATTGCAAATTCCAATCTTCACCTTTCGCAGATTCCGTGTTGGCGTAACGATTATATGTACGTCGATGGTATTTTAAGAAAATTGACAATCCGCAGCCGACCTTTGTGCAGCTTTGTAATCGTACTGGCAGCGGTATAAAAAATATTCACCAGCTTGATTGCCAATATATCGCGTGCGCCGCTGATTGAACCGTACCGTGTGCGTCTGTATTCGCTCTTCTTTTTCTCATTCCATTTCTCTTTCCCTCCCATCGGCCCGTTAATTTGGAATATCACCGGTTGCACAATAGAAAAATTGCGCAACCCGAATTATTTATGTTTATATAATATCCCGATGCGCGCGAACGGTGGAGCGAGCTCACGAATTTTTCAACGGGTCTTTCTCGCGCTCTGCCACGATCGAAAATTGTATTATCGCGAGGGGTTGCTGGTAAATTTCGTTAACGAGCTTCACACCGCGAAAGAATCGTGGTTTTCATAAAGAACCGCGGTGGCCACGTATTATAAATTTGCGCGTTCGATTCGAAGAATTGACGCAGCTTTGTTCAACGCAAAGTCGGTGTATCGAGGCGACGCGACGCGACGTGACTTCGTCTCACTGATTTTTCTATTCGTCAATGATCCGCGTGTGCACGAGAGTGTTTTCATTGTACCCTCGGTTCCGTTTTTTTTTTAAGCACCCTATCGAACACGTTTGATGCTTGTGTCTACCCACCGCCATTATTTCGTAGCGAAGCATTTTAACGTCGGCCAGTTGGACCGTGAATGATTATTAATCAATTTTCAACGTTAAACGTGCCGCCGCAATAAAAAGCGCGGTACGTTAACGAACCACGCTCGTATAATTGAGCATTTTGGCGAGAATGATTGTGAGTCTGTGCTAAAACCCTTTCGTGCCCATTCGATTGATTTCGGCAAGCGGGGAAAGAAGAAAAATCAGCCAAAGGGTTGAAGGATGATAAAGAGCTTTAGGGTACGACTTGTCCACCCTCTATTTTTCCCTCCTTTCTTTTTTTTTTTTTAGTAGGTGGAAAGCCATGTCACCGTGTAAATATTGTGTAAAGCTGGTTAAAATGGGCTGATGCACCGAAATGATTTTACAACGGAGCAAATTCAATCGCGGCTACTGCTTAAATTTAAAAAAGCTTATATTTTGTAACAGAGTTACGTGAGCAGGATTTCCTGACATGCATGTATATATAATTATGTTTTTCTAATGATACGTTGCGTTCACTCATTTAAATACGTTGATAATAATTGTAATGCTAGTTATTATAAGTGAATATTTAAAAAGTAGAGATTGTTACATAATATCCCAACATTTAATTACTAGAAGGGTTTTCACAAGTTAGGATTTGCCTTTCGAATATTAGAATTAATTTTAATTGATACATTGTTCCACTCTCATCGATAAGTGGAAAATATTCAATATTGACATTGCACGTTGATCGTTGACCGAATGCGTGGCGACATGGGCAACAAAAAGTTGGTCGGGAGGCTCGGAAGGCGGGCGGACACGAAATTTGTGGCGACAAATATAGTCGAAAGCACTTTGTTCCCAGCGACGTCGCGTCGGTCGAATATTTTATAATTGTTATCAATACGGCACAAATGCGGGCTGGGTTTCAAACGCGGCGTAATAAACGAAATAAAGTATCGCCATTTTCGTCGTTGACAGAGTGCGTTGAAAAGCTCCGCGGCGAAAAACTTTTCGGCCGTGTTTTTCATTGGTGTGTCTCTTCAATTGTAATTAATATTTTTTTTTTTTTCGGCGACAGCTTTTTTCGGCGTTCGACAAATTTGAAAAAAATACACGAATACGAGCCTAACCCTTCGGCGCTACGTTACCCTCCCCATCTCCTGCGCCTGTTTGTTACGTACATTATTTTGAAATAAATGGTAACGCAATTTGAATCTTCGATTACGTAAACTAGAATTACGTATGAAAAGGATGCGTATGTTTGTTACAGGAAAGTGACAGAAGTAGCATCGGTAGCCCTGAACCAGGAGCGGTCACCACAGGCTCGCTCCATGAACATCAGATGATGATGGAGGAGATAAAGAACGCGCGGAAGAACAGTCCGTCCCCTGAGAACCTGGCGAAACGAGCGAAAGTGGCGCATCTAAATGGGAGTAAGTTAATACTGGTTTACTAGACTAAAAATATATTGTGTTATGAACGCTCCTGTTGTGGTTTCTATATACAAGTTCTAATAAATTAAATTTCTTTATATATAATTGATATACCACGACAAATATGACAGATTTTTAATGATTCTAATAATTAAGTAAATCCTCAGATTTACAATTGATATAAAAAACAATAAGTCAATGTTTCTTACACATTTTGTTTCAAAACCAGCAACCTATTTATCATAATGTATGAATTTTCTGTTCCACCAGTGGCGAGTATGGTGACTCTACAGAATCTTCAAAATCTGGCGAGTTTACAAAGTCTACCGCAAGTTGCGTCATTGGCCGCGGGTCTCCAGGGAATGACAGCGGGATTGACTAACAATCAGCTCATCAACACGCCCCTGAATCTTACTGTCAGCTCCTCTGGTAGGAATACGAACAGTCATCGCACGGCTTGACAAACTGAATGTTACCATTTTTACAGTCATTCAAAGTCCATTCTCTGTAGATCAATTTCTTCATCAAAACATAAAATGATTTTAATACTATTACGTACGTTGTTAAGCATGTTATTTATGTTAACAGTCTCGTTACGCGAAAATGTAATCAACATGAAAATTCATTGTACAAAATGACGAAGCACTCCAATTTCCTTTTTATTATTATTTTATTATGTTCATAGCAAGATTGATAAAAGCATATAAGAAACTCTTCGTTAAACTGAAACTACAGGATGAGAAAAAAAATATAAAAATAAATTAATCTCGCGTCTTGCAAAGTTATCACAGTATATTACAATCAAAAATTAAAATTTATGCAACAAACATGAATTTTCATATTTAGGTGGTACGGTGCCGACAGCTTCGAGCACGACAGCTGGATCGCATCTTCTTCCACCGAGTTCGACGCCAATGGCAACATTACCTCAGCTATTATCTCAGCCGCAACCGGTCGCGATGCCTCAATTCATCCTAACGTCTGGTCAATTGGTTCAAGGCATTCAAGGGGCTCAACTTCTTATACCTACATCGCAAGGTACACCTTCTATTCTTCATACTTCATGCATTCGTTTCTTTCTCTTTCACTGTTCTCGAAACAGTTTCATTCCTACTCGAACTAAGCCCGTCGAACGTTGAACGTGTCACGTAAACCGATTATTCATTGAAGACCCTCTAAGCGCAATTCACACAGAATTGATAAGATGCATAGGATGAATCAGTGTCGTTTAGAGTCGTCTGCTAGATAGAATTGCTATTTCTTCCGTTCATCAAATATTTTAAATACTAAATCAAGTTTATAGTTTTAACATGATTACTATAAAAAGTGTGAATCGTGTATAAAAGCATTATAGTAATGCTCCAAGGTATTTAAGTTACAAATAACTATGATAGTATCTTTACTATAAGCTTTTCAAACTCAAACTGTCAAACGAATTATTGAATGTTTTTAAGTTCGGAAGACTGAATTGAACTGTTCAAAAGGACGCAAGCTGAGGCTAATTGCAATCTTGCTTGAGGAATGCAATTAAACGTCAAAGAAATAAGATAGTAAGAGATAACGGGCTTGAGAAGAGCGAGTATCCGGTAGCTATCAGTAAACCAACAAGAAACCTTCAACAATAACCGGTCGCGCTAAGTACCTACGAATTTCGGGGCATAAATCAGTCCGAGTAGGTCCGAGTGGTCTCAACGTGAAATCTGCACGATGTGCCGGCGCATAATGTTGTGCAATCAAGATGTGCCGATGTACGTATATACGTGTATAATATAATATAATATCGACTATCTCTGACCAGCTCGGACTAAGGCTCGCCCCATCGTCCATACTTAGTGGTCCTAGACTAGCCTGGCAAGCAGAGGGCAAACTCTGCAACTAATTTCAATGTATAATTAACGTCTCACTACCCCTTTCGAGACCCACGAATAACCAGCCCTCCCTCCTCGCTGCTGGCCGCTTCGTCCCGGGTTTCAGTCCTCCTACTCTAGCCCTGATACTCTCTCTTCTGGGTGGACATCACAGTTCCGCGGATTCGGCCGCTATTATATCGATTGCGGTTCACGCTAACTTCGTTTCTACCAAGTTGGGTTCCTATTCTGGCAATTGAGAGCGAGAGAGAGAAAGAGAAAGAGAGAGAGAGAGAGAGAGAGAGACGCCGGCGCGGAACATCGAGGAAGGCAGCGGCAGAGGGACTGGAAACAAGAGGAGGCAGGGGTAGGAAACTTTGCGAGTCCGACTAAGTGGATTGAAGTTCCTGGATATGGACCAGTCGTGGTAGGATGACGAGTTACGTGGTGGCAAATAATGTTTGCACTGCCTTTCGGCTCAATCGATGGTAACTGATTGAACGCTCGATTGGTTCCTGATCGACGTCTTCGCGCAAAGAAACAGTCACTCGACTGGGAGTTTATGTGAATCCAACGAATCGATTCATCGACCGAGAGCACACCCTCCGATAAGCTCGTGCGGGAATACGAGGAAGAGTCGATTTAACGTATTCAGGGAGTCGATCAAATAAGAAACAGAAGATGGTTAAATATGCATTATACTTTTTAACGATTACTCGTCGCACTGAACTCTTGGGCTAATTCGAAGAATTAGGTACGGATGAAATCTGAATGAGATACATCTGCCTGTTTTTACGATCCGAGCCCGATCGAAAGCAACAGTGAGTGAATATTTTATTACCGTCACCAGTAGGTCATCGGGACTCGGATACTTTGGAATCGTTCAAAAATAAGCTTACTGAACATTATCGGATGAGCTGGCTATTTTCATTAAGAAATTGGAGAATCTTGACAAAGACACGGGTCACGATATGAGCGTAATTTACAGCTCGATTTGCTAATCTCAGCAAGCGCGAGCGTTACATTATCTATAAAGCGACATGACAATCATCGACCCGATGATAATTTGCTCCCCTCCTGTGAGAGCTCGGTTCGCTTTAATTAGTACTCTTTTTATGGAGCGTATGACACGCTTGACTTAATTCGAATCGCATGGACGATCAAGAAACGTTGCAGACGTAATAGTTTAAACAGAATGGAAATAGGATTTCGTAAAAGTCGAAAACCCATTTCCATGAGCAGTGGTACTGCAGGGAGAAGGGTAGCAGAGGATACGTCGCGTCGCGGGGGACTGAGAAAAATTTCCCCGTAATGCGAAATATTATCGTCGAATATCGCAGCGCGGAACTAAACGTTAATCGGATTGTCAGTTGACCTTACCTCAGAACGTGAAACTTTTATGGCTGTTCGGAATACGGGATTTGCTTAGCTTAGCTATAGGTACCAACACGGGTACGTACTCATGATCAGTAATCATATTAAGCGCGTGTACAGGGTAATCAGATTAGCGGAGCTGGAGGTAATCCCGAAACTATTCTAAGTATGATTAGGCGTCCTTCTCGCAGCCTAGTCCAGCGCCGGTACCTGTACCCACTATTAAGATGACGATAATAGTTTGCCAACTACGCTGGCCTGCGAGGTTACCTGCCCTATGGGTTGCCTAATAATCCCTCTATGAGACTCTGATAACTTTACTACCCTTCCTGGATCAACGACGCGTGGACTACGTTCATAATGGAAATGAAGTATCTATTGATTCGAGACACGTTCATACGGGGACGAGGCCCAAGATAGAATTATTAAGCTTTGCCTTGTCCGCCTGGGCTGGTCTTACCTTCGCGGGATTAACTCCTTTTTTCTTCTCTGCCTGCTTATCCACGATAGGAATCGCTACGCAAACTATCCTGACCATCCCCGTGAGCCACGTCACGAATAATCAGATGGTGAACTTGGCGTTGAGCAACGGCCAGGTGGTGTCTACGACCCTGGCGAACCTTCAGTCGATCGCACAGCCACAGAACATGATGACCACGCCGACCAGTAATGGTGACTTCACAGGTAAAAATGATCATTATTTTATTATGAACAATAATGTAGTAATGGAAAAAAAAACCGATATTTGCAAATCTTTTAATTTTCTATTTTTAATTGTAAGTAATAAATAACGTGAACTGTCAGTAGAGAAATAACAAGTTACGACGGTATCTAACATATACACATTGAACTCAGTGTTGCAACTCTCGACTTGACTTTTTCTTAAATTAAGTTACAGAAATCAAACGAATTATGAAGATAGCCACTATGACTTTCAATAAAAATGTTTAATAAAATTTGTCGTAAAATCACGCGACCCTAAATTCCAACACGGTACCAAAGTGGATCACGGTTTTCTCTTTCCACGTGACAGTTCCAACAAGTCCCAGCTTAGCGCCCGGATTAGGGCTAAATCCCGCCGCCTTGCCACACCTTCTGAGCAACAGCTCGGCCGGGCAACAACTTCTGAACGCGATGCAGCCTCAGCAACTGCTTCAGGCGGCGCAGGCTGCCCAAGCTCAGGCACAAGTAGCGCAGGCAGCACAGGCAGCGCAGGCGGCGCAGGCGGCGCAAGCGGCGCAGGTGGTCCAAGCCGCACAGGCTTCTCAGCAACCGCTTTTGACGACGTCGCCACAGCAACACGGCCACAGGCACAGTTCTCACATGAACCCTTACCCGGTACGTAGACACTGTCCAGTATGTAGTTCAGTTTTTTTTAGATACTTTCTATGAAATATTGACAGATCGTAATAAGTAATATCTTTGACTGTTGCCAACATTTAATGACAAGTACTAATATAATAAATCTTATTTAGTGACCATCTCTTCCTAGCTTAAAGCGAGTTTAAATAGTTCTTAATTCTGTTACGTTTTATCACACGAACATGGATTTTATTAAGTTTCTACTTTGAAAAGCAATTATGAATCCTACGAAAATGTCATTGGTGGCACATAAATGGAAGTTGTTTTCAAGAACATTACTTATCGGGAAAGTTGTAGACGCAAATGCATTAGGAAACGTAGAGAATTTCAATTATATTGCTAGTTTCCATTTTCGTTGGATATCAACTTTCTCCAACGTCACCATGATCTTCTATTAAAAACTCCATTTTTGTACGTTTATCGGATTGCTATGCAGAACGAAATCGTATTAATAATAACGTCCTAAAAATTTGATCAACCACTTATTCAATTAACACTCCATTAAAAATGTCCGTATCCTATTTTATTTGTTAAGAATTTGTCGCGTCGTATTTAAATGAGCAGTGGATATCTACACTTGATGTCGCTAATATGTGTCCACGCGAAAAAAAGATTCATTATCTACCCTGATCGATCGGTCGAAATTATAGATAGTCACATCCATCGCATCTGTACAAACTTGGCCGAAGGAATGCATTCACTTCATTTCTTTCCCATCAATAAACTACAAAACCAACGATCGATGAACCGATATTTTCCTTGTTTGCTGCGATTATCGTCGATCAGACCACGGTTAAACCTTCTTGAAAAAATTTCGTATCCGTTTCGTCCATAACGACACCGTAATCTGGTATCTCCGATAACCAGTCGGACAATTTCTCCGGTAGTGGGTAACAATACAAACGAGCTCTCAATCCGCGAACGATATACGGAGTCCTCGCGGAAGGTGGAAAGGGCTTAACCGTTGCGAGATCAACAGAACAAGCAGAATAATTCCCCGATAGCAAGCAATCTCGTTAAGAAAGTATTCCGTAGCAGCGGCGGCGGCGGCGGCGGCGACGGCATTTCTTCCACTAATTAGACTCTAAAGTGTCCTGATCCGAGAGAGACGAGGCAGGAACGAAAGAAGGAGAGACCGGGTCTCATTATTAAGTACATAATTGGCGTGGAGGAGAAGCATGGAGCATTGTCATTAATACCGATTGAGTTTACTAATCCGTTACTACTGACTGTCTCTATAGTACCGTCCCTTCGGTTTGTTCTTTGCAGCTCGCAGAGAAACATCACAGGGAGATGCCCGAGCAATCGACGCTTTTGAACGAGTCCGTGGTGTCCGCGGCCTCGGCATTGAATAGACTGGCGGCCAGCAACGGGGAAATCACGATCACGACCACGCACGGACCGAGCGGAGCCGGTGTGAAGGCCTCGCCGAGTAGCATGCTCAATCCTAAGAAGGAAGAAGAAGATTTGAACGATTCACCCAGTAAGATTCGCACCCTTTATTTTTTCCTTCTTGTATTTGAGTTTGCAAATGAAATTTATCATTGCCTGTTGAAATTTATGAAAGTTTGATATCATTCCTCTGGTACAAATTTTACTTGAACAGGAAGGTTTAAAATAGTTCCATGATCGAAGAATGTGTAAGATACTAATTGATTTGAAGAATTCAGTACATTGGGTTTATAAATCTATCTTTAGGATGACTCTTGTATTTAAGCCTTCTATCTTCAGCGCGAAGTGTAAATTGTTTAAGTAGGAAATCGTTATTCGTCGGTTCAGTAGTTTTTAATTAGCCAATTTTTAACAGCATCATTAAATACAATTATAATGCAATTATTGATACTATTACTGATTTCTCCTTAATATCACCTTATTTAGACCAGTCAAGAAAATCCGGACTATAATAGTAATATAGTAAATGTTCAACAAGGTGTACATATATTATTGTAGAGAAACTTATGTTTAATTCCTAATTTAACTAAGAAACTCAATTGGTTTAGTCAATCAATGATCGGTCCGTAACTGTCTGATTATCTTCTTTTTATAGATTATCTTATTCTAAAATATTCTACGAAATTCTAACGATTCATGCTTCAGTTCTAAAAAACTCTAAACACTCACAATTTGATCATACGAATTCGTCTTGACGCATCTGTACCCTCATTATGGATTTAACGATTGTTTCTCATTGCCTATAATTACATCTCCTCTTTCCCTTCTCGCGGATTCAACATTTAACGCACAGTCAAAGTCGCTAAATAATAACGTTGATAGCTCTAGTAAAGCTCTTCATAATCCTAATAGGATATCGTACAATGCAGGGACTCATTACGGTATAGTATTAGATCGTTCCACGCTGCCTTCTGGGAAGCCATAAAGATCCCAGACCGGTACACAGTACATATAATGTCGGAACAGCCAGCAGTCAACAATTTTAATAATTCACAATCATTGTTCAGCGTGTAACACTTTCAAACAATCGTCCTATCGTCGTATCGAGCCTAACGATTCTCAATTGCCAGTACCACGTTGCATATTACTTGACAACTCCGTGACTTTGTTGACCCATCTTTCCTCTGTATATTTACGAGCAAACAGACTTGGTATTCACTTTGTTTGAATTAATAAAAAAGCGTGGAGTTTTTACTCTGAGCCCCTATTCAATTATAATTGCTGAAAGTTAAAATTATATGTCAATGACGTAATGAAAACTTGTCAGAACAAAATGATATCCCTGATCATTTCATGATAATACAATTATATTTGTTCCAAATTGAACAATTTGACAAGTCGAATAAAACGAGTACACGTACATACGTGTTGCGTTGTTGTTCAATTCGAGGGGCGTGCAACTCGATTGGAAATTAATGATTGCAAGAACACAATGGATCGCGTGGTGGGAGAAGGATTTGTAGTTTATTAGCTAGGCCACTTAGGAAACTGTTGGAATCGATGGCTTCTACCGCATACGTGTAGATTCACATATAGGATACAAGTGACAAATTTATGAGAGAAATCGGTGTAGCTGAAGTCGCTTTAAACGAAGCCGATCAACGTCATTAAGTAGCCTCTCGGTGAAACGACTCGGAAAATAGTTTCAAATTGCGTTCCACAGAATATTAGCAAACGTCTTGGCAATGAAAAATTTAGAAAAAGTTATATCTTCGATATACAATTTTATTTTCATTGAGGCATTGATCTTTTTATTATATCCTCGTCTATGCAGGGTGTATCATAGTTATAAAATAGCCAATTATTCCTCGAGTTTATCAATAAATACTCCGGATGAATTGTACTTTTATTGAATAAGCGCGTCCGCACATTTTAACAAGTGCACGTTAATTTTACACGATAATTTTTATGGATTCATCCTGCATATGTTCTTATTCTCCAATTTTTAAAAAGACCGGAAGAGCGAAATATTTTATAACCCACAGATCAGCCGACTATCAACGAGGCCACGAACAACGTAATCGACGGGGTGAATCTGGACGAGATCAAGGAGTTCGCGAAGGTGTTTAAGTTCCGTAGATTGTCGTTGGGTCTCACGCAGACTCAGGTCGGACAGGCCCTAAGCGTGACAGAGGGGCCAGCTTACAGCCAAAGTGCCATATGCAGGTGAGTGTCCCCTGTGTTTCCTCTACCTTTTTTTTCCTTTTATTTTGTTCTATACTCGCTCTTTCGCTCTCGCGAACTGCTAAATGGACGTCGCTGATGAGACAAAGAAGTGAGAGAAAACGACAATAGGCTACGATACAACAGTGTGCCAGGTCACTGGAAATGGCCAGGAATAGAGGGACTGACGGTTTAACAACAGATTTTTTAATGATGTTTAAAGCGTTCAATCTCAATGTAATCATACTTTACGTCGTTTAGAGAAGAATTGAGGAATATCTTTTACTCTGCTCTATGTCCAAATTAAATTGGTTATTATTCGATCAGTCTACGAAAATCTTATTTATTATTGCTTTGATTTATCAATTCTACGAATTGTTAAAAGAGAGGAAGGAAAGAAACGGTAAATAAATAAATGTGAACTCTCGGTCAGCTTCTTACGAGATGGACGAAGCGCGTGGCAGTATCTTCAATTCGAAACTTGTTCCAAGTGATCAATTCATTTTGGACATAGCATTGTCATGACAGTATTCACATTCTTTTACCTCGATCATGGTTCAGTGCTCTTCGATAGTGTACGGAGATTCTGAGAAAATAGTCGTTCAATTTTCAATCGTCACTTGATATAAAATGTACATAATATAATTTGCCACGGTGGTTCCTAAGAATACTTGTTCACCTGCTGTTCATATTTGTGACTCAGGGAATTGAAGATGTTTTCTAGTACCTCTCGAGGATTTTCACGTTGTCAAAAAGCGATCGGAAAGGAACCACCGTGGTAGTGCTGGTGGCAAGTAGAAACTACGTTTCTACATCCTAGCATTGTTATCGTAACGACTAATTTAAGCATTGGTGATTGTTTCCCAGTGCCCTGGCTACCCAGATGTACGCCTCGCAGATTGCCTCTCAGCAGCAAGCTACGTACGTTCACCCCTCATATGCTACTTAATTTACCTAAAAATCTAAAACTTTATCGAACCCTATGGAAAGCATAGCAGTTATACCCAAGCATGCGAATCCGTATATTGGCACCGTCGTCGTGTTCATTCGAAACCGTACACGAATCAATATTAGTTTTCGACGAAACTTTAGGTTGATTTACTTGATAGTTTATATCGATTAGGGAAAGCGTTCTCGTCCTCGACTTTCTTCTGTTTCGTCCAATGTTTCCCTCATATCGTTCAACGAAACGATGACGAATACAACGTAGTGTTTTCCAAAATTGTTTTTAATAGCTTCGAAACGTATCGTGGGGCATATTTGGGTATAGCTGCACTGTTACTAATTTTCTAACTCCGTTTCTGGCAATAAAGAGAAAAATAAGTAAAATGCGAAAGGAGCACTTCTGAAAGTTTAACGATTTCTTCAAGCCAGGGCATTGGCAAACTTGGGCATGATGTCGCCAACGCGTGTGCGAACGCGTGTCACGAAGTCGCGGAGACGTCCGTCGACGAGAGTCTGTTCCTTTCAAACGATTTTCGTCTTCCATCTTTTTTTTATTCTTTTTTTTTGAGAGAGAAAAAAGAAGAAAACAACCGCTTAGTTTTTGGTCATTCGACTTGCGCTAATCTCGGACAAGAACAGTGGCTCTCGAAGCGCGTTGGCAACATCATACACGGCATCACCAGAACCTTTAAGCATGCACGCATTGTCAATGTCCTGTTTTTTGAGTCAATGCATGCCTCTTAGTGCTCCTTTAGTCGAACAAAGACGCAAAGAGAATTTCGCTGAATAAATTTAGACATTCAAAGAGAAATTTGTAAATTCAGTGTGTAACGACACGATGCTCTTGTTTATGAACACTGTCTTTACGTCTTTGACGTGAAAATTGCGATTTCCTATTTATTTTTTTATAAGTTTCATCCCCTACATGACGCGATGATCGGAGAACGCGAATGATAACTTGTTGTTGGCTCTAGATTCGAAAAGTTGGACATCACGCCAAAGAGCGCGCAAAAGATAAAACCGGTCCTTGAGAGGTGGATGAAAGAGGCTGAAGAGAGGTGAGTCAATTCCGCAATCTTGAATTCCTATAATTTCGATTTACTCAGTGATTAATACACGAGAAACACCATTCTGTATACAAACGAAATTATTAGATCAGTTATAAAGAATTATTTCTTGGGTTCTCTTAAAACAAGTTTTTCTACAATTCATCACGTCTGGGCAGTATGAATTTTCTTTCAGATTTCAAAACGGCTTATCCAATTGAATGAACGTGTTTGAATGAGTAGGCGCTATTTTAGTTCCTTTTATTCGATACACTGTGGAATGTGCTGTTGCCAAATTTGAAATCGCCGTTTTAACGACGTATCGCGGCGCGCAAACATGGTGCGCGATTATCCTGCGATCGTCCAACTTAACGGGGTTCTCGAGCGGTGTCCGAGAGCGTGTGAACGCGTGCGTGCTAATTGGTAATTCGCTAATTGAATCCAGCTGATTAATTGCGGATCCGCGTCTAATAAATACGCGGAATGTTAATTAGAATGAGGGGAATCCGTTAATGCGCGCACGCGGCACAGGCCCTCGAAGCCGCTACAGGTAGAATGCATTTCTGCTGCCGGTTTTATTCATGTCATGAAAGAAGTCGATTATCGACTTCCCTCCTTCGAGAATCGGATTTGCCGCTGCTCATTGACGCACCCACACGTCCGCGCAGAACTATTTTCTTCGAATGTTATATCAGGATTTGTAATTAGCACAATCCAAAGTTCAATTCATTGTCCGTAGCTCGATGTGTTCGGCTTAACAACGAACGAGACTTACTTGCGTATTAAAAGAATTTTTGAAACACCTTATGCCCGTTAGTTTAATATTCTTGATCTTCTGCATGGGATAGTTTGAAAGAGAAGAAACAAACGTATAAAAGAGTTCTGTTTCATTTAAGGTATGTTCTGTATATCAAAACAGTAGATAAATGTTTAACAACTACTATCACCCCCCTTGAACCACTGCTATCATGTTAAGTTATTGCCAATAATACTAGGAAAGAATTCTAACATACAGATATCGATAGAGATTTCGATTAATTTCTACATAAATTTGTTTCTTACGCGTTTTCTCCATTAAAATTTGTATTCGATTAACGAGCTAGCTTCGTTTAATTGGAATTGCGGACTAAGTAGCGATCGGGCAGATTTTATCCGACAGCGCCTAACACGATTTATGGTTTCGGTTTCACCGCGGTGCCGTTTTATTGTCGGCAAACTCGCGGAAAATATACGTGACTACATATATGCAAAAAATAACATATACCATACGCGTACGTGTAACTGCGAACGGTGGCACGTGTTGCAAAACACACGTACACGTGGTACGTACTCGTACTAGATGGTACGGCACATTGATACGCATACATGTACAGGCGGTGTGTATCTCGACCATGAACCGGATGATTCGATGACAAGAGCACGCGGTCATTTCTCTTTCCGCGCGCGAACCGGCAACAATGACCCATTCCGCATTCCCGCGGTGTAGCATCAACAGATTTTCCCCAAAACGAACAAAATGATTTGTTGACTGTGTATTAACACCTTCCCGCTGACGATACACCGCGGAATCATCCTGGTGTTATTGACCCGGAACTCGGTTTTCCCCGTTTAATGATTCGTTCCTTGATTACGTGTATACACGTACACGCATTTCAACGAAAAGCGAAAGTTTTCTAACTACCGTTAATGCGAATAGGAATGCGGTTGGCAAGACCATCAAACTGATTGTTAAAAAATAAAAATTATTCCCTCGTCCTCGATCAAGAATTAAAAATTGTTTTATTTCAATTTTTGTCTCACCGAGCTTATTAAGCATTTACAGTTCTGTGACTATTTGCCCATTATTAAAAAGAATTTCTCACGTGCTCCATCAGTTTATTCGTACTCTCTTTATCATAATTATTTTATACTTCAAAACATATTTGTCATAAGAACTCACACTATTGTCTGGTAATTCTAATATATGAAAGCGACGAGTTTTAGTCGGCTTGAACCCTGGTATCTTTCGAGACAAGAGTACTGGTTCTTAAAAAGAAGTTCAGCCAACTAGCTAGAAGTTCGATTACAAAGGAATTCATTTGGGCCCGCGAGGGAAACTGGACGCGGAATGGATTATGGAGCAGTCGGATTCGTCAGCCTATTAATTCCACCAACCATTATCCAGCGGATTCGATGACGGTTTAAAGTGTGCTCGTTTCTCTCTCTACGCGCGCAGCTCGATCGAGCAACAATGACCCATCCCGCATTCTCGCGGCGTAGAAGTAAGCGCGGCCGTGCTGCGAGCGGCCGCGTCCGGGAAAAATGAAAGCGGCTAGTTTATGCGGTGCACGTGCACGATTTATCTGCCGAGTAATTAAACTGTGGACTAATTAAAATCAGGTTTCTGATGTACCCCTCCCGTCTGCCAACTCTCTCTCTCTCTCTTGCTGTTTCCCGTCCCCACGTTCTCCCTATCTCCTCCTTCTCCGCCTTGACTCTCTTATCCCCGATTCCTGTCGTTTCTTCTCCACCTTCTTTTCCTTCGGTTCTCCTTTCTCCCTCAATCACACGCTTCTGCCTGCACACCTACATGGTCACGTAATACTCGCAATTCCACGAGGTACACCCACGCCACTATTCCTTCCTTCTTCTCCTTTTTCTATTCACCTCTTCGTTTGTTGCATTACTCGTTTCCGTTTTCCGTTTCATTCTATCATTGCCAGCCTCTGTCGTACCGTTCCGATACGTTTCTGGACCTCCGTTTCGCACCGGTAGCATTCCTGTTGATCTTCACTCAGCTGTGTGTAGCATGCATGTACACATATATACGAGTGTGTAACTCTCATGAGATTTAGGTGGGCTCGTTTAATGCCAGCTGTAAAGAGTTTCTAATAAATATTCGATTAGCTGATTTATTCCCGCGATCCTGGCGACGGATTTAGAGGAGACGCGGGTACCAAGCGCGGGAGCTCGGGCTCAGGGTGACTAAGCACGCTTTCAGCATGTTCGATATAGCGCGCGCATGCTTCTCGTGATTCATATTTTTAAAAACGCGACGCGACGCTGCCGCGACCGTGCGGTACTTATTGTCTCGGCGCGACGCGCCCGCCAAGCTTCGGTGAAGGTTTCCTTCTATTTCTCTTTTTTTTTCTCACCCTCTCTCCTCTTTTTTATGGCGCGGCGACAACGTTTAATTCTCGCTTCGCGTTCTCTCGCCCTCGCGGATTATACCTCCGCCGACGCATTTAGCCGTGTCCTTATCCGTCGTTATAGCCCGTTTAACCCTCTTTCTCTTTGTTCGTTTGGCTTCTCACCTGCGCGGCTGGGAATACGTGCTCGAGTCACCCTCGACGCGATTTGATTTCACGTTCTCTCTCTCTTTCGCTCTCCTCCTTTCACTCTGCCGTTCTCGCTCTTCGTTCCCCTTCAGTGCATTTCCCCTCCTTTCGCTTCGGTCAGCTTTTCTCATCCGCGATACACGGCCACGGTAATAACGTTCCTTTTGTACGATGAAAGGGTTTATTAAGATCATTGAAAGTGGTGATAAATCGGCCGAGGAGAAACAATTACGATATTTGCAAACACTTTAAACGGGCCTCGGTCAGTCAATTCGCCAGGCG